ACTCTCTTTGACCAGCCCATACCGTGGGCCCCGAAGGTCAAATACCTAGGCGTCACCCTCGACAGAGGGATGACATTCCGTCCCCATATAAAAACGGTACGCGACCGCGCCGCGTTTATTCTAGGACGACTCTATCCAATGCTTTGTAGTCGAAGCAAACTGTCCCTCCGCAATAAGGTAACTCTCTACAAAACTTGTATACGCCCCGTCATGACATATGCAAGCGTAGTGTTCGCTCACGCAGCCCGCACCCACTTGAAATCCCTTCAGGTTATTCAATCACGATTCTGCAGGATAGCCGTCGGAGCGCCTTGGTTCCTTAGGAACGTGGATCTCCACGATGACCTGGAGCTCGACTCATTTAGTAAGTATCTACAGTCGGCATCGCTGCGCCATTTTGAGAAGGCGGCACGACATGAGAACCCTCTCATCGTAGCCGCTGGAAATTACATACCCGATCCTGTAGACCGTTTGGTAAACCGTCGACGTCGCCCAAAGCACGTCATCACGGATCCTCCTGATCCATTAACGGTGCTTTTAGGCAATACAAGCACCGGTCACCGTCCTCGCCGAACCCGTCGCTTGCGACGAAGGGCTCGACGAGCGAATTAACCCACAGACACAGCCCACTGAGTTTCTCGCCGGATCTTCTCAGTGGGTCGCGCTTCCGATCCGGTGGTAGATTCTGCGAAGCACTGCTCTTGCTAGGGCGGTGTTAGCAATTCTCCGGTTTGAGCCCCGCGAGCTCACCTACACAAGCTAGGGTACGCTGAAATAGCCTCTCAAGGCTATCAGCATAGGTAGGAAAAAAAAATCCAGTCTAGGGTACTAGAACTGAGATATTTTTGTGTCTGCTTTAACAGGCGATTGTATCCACACTTGTAAATAAAGATTAAATTTACCATCTGAAAGTAAAGCTATGAATAATTTTTAGTCTGGTCTCTTAAGTAAACGACAAAGGTAATAAATAGGCTTTGAAATTCAAATTGCTGCCACGAAGCTATAATGCTGTCTTATATGAAGAGTAACACAGCTGAATCAACGCACTCAGATTTCAATTTTATGTTTGACAGTAGATGGAAGAACTCAGATTGGCAGTTTTTAAATACGTTGGCGATGGTTAGCTTTCAGCTCGAAGGCAAGACGAATGTAACCTGTAAGAGCTGCCGAGTTTTCCGCCGAGCTGACATTAAATTAAAGCCGTAGAAACAACAATATGAATACTAAAAAAAAACTGACATAAAACTGAACACACAAGAAAATATTGAGGTACAAATTCTTCACCAATTTCCATTACAACAAGCACAATGCCGTACATGAATTAGGCGATGTACCCAAATTGCTACAGCTCTCATCGTAAAGGAAGACGAATGTTGCAAAAAAATAACGAATTTCTGTCGCGAACGAAAAAATTAAGTATGACAAAGTATTCCACTTTGAAATTTTTAATAAAAAGGAAGAAGCTAAATCAAAGGACAGACGGTATGAAAGCGACATTTCGTACTCTTCTTGTGTTTGAATGGGGTTTGTTTTGTCCGTGATTGGATTAATTTCTTCTACCTGATACGACTTGTTTTTAACGCGCTTAAATTAGCCATTTACCAACGAAATGGCCACTTCATTTACATAAAGTTAAAGTCATTTTTATATAAATATTTTATATTGCTATCAATCAAAATGTTCACCTATGGTATCGATGCATCACATCACATTCTCATCATTAATGAAGTGAGCCAGTTATTCGGTATTGCCACAGTGACGAAACCCGTGTTCCATATTTACTAGTATTTTTATCGTATACAAAAGAAGTGAAAACAAAACATTAATTAATAAGCACAATTGAATCTAAAATTCAAAATACAATTCCATTTTTTTTTCTCCCATTTCTTGGCCTGCACGGTTTGTGCGTCAGCCATTCCATTTTTTTTTACATAAAATACATTTGAATTTAGAGTTTTTTGACAGTCACACATAAATTATGTGTCACTAGGCCAGTATTATCAAATGACAACTTTACAGGTAAATATTTGCTTGATTTGCATATAAACTTAAGAGATAGATAGATAGATTTGCATATATTTCTTTGTGTACCTAACGGAATCTTTCAACGCAACTTTCACCAACTTCAAGAAGTCCGATTAACGTCTAAATTTGCACACATATAAAGGTCCGATGACTATGTAATATTTTATTTCAATATTGGCCCAATCTCTTGACCAGATTAAATTGTGATCAAGTAGTTGGATTACTTAATCTGACATAAGTAACCATTTTGCTTAGTTGTACAAAAAAATTTAGATTTCGATCTCATGTCTCTGTTGACACTAATTTAAAACAAGGTGGGCCGGCCATAAAACTAACCAACCCATAAAACTAAAAACTCGAAATGCGATC